GTAGTAGTAGTAGTAGTAGTAGTAGTAGTAGTAGTAGTAGTAGTAGTAGTAGTAGTAGTCGTAGTAGTAGTAGTAGTAGTAGTAGTCGTAGTCTAGTAGTAGTAGTAAATCGTCGTAGTAGTAGTAGTAGTAGTAATAGTAGTAGTAGTAGTAGTGGTAGTAAGTCGTAGTAGTAGTAGTAGTAGTAGTAGTAGTAGTAGTAGTAGTAGTAGAAGTAGTAGTAGTAGTAGTAGCAGTAGTAGTAATAGTAGTAGTAGTAATAGTAGTAGTAGTAGTAGTAGTAGTACCACTAATAACAATAGTAGTAGTCGTCGTCGTAGTAGAAGAAGAAGTCGTAGTAGTAGTAGTAGTAGTAGTAGTAGTAGAAGTAGTCGTGGTAGGAGTAGTAGTAGTAGTAGTAGTAGTAGTAGTAGTAGTAGTAAGAGTAGTAGTAATCGTAGAAGTAGTAGTAGTAGTAGTAGTAGTCGTCGCCGTCGTAGTAACAACAGGAATAAGAGTAGGAGTCGGAGTCGGAGTAGGAGTAGTAGTAGTAGTAGTAGTAGTAGTAGTAGTAGTTGTAGAAGTAATAGTAGGAGTAGGAGTAGCAGCAGCAGTAGGAGTAGCAGTCGTAGTAGTAGTAGTAGTCGTAGTAGTAGTAGTAGTAGTAGTAGTAGTAGTAGTAGTAGTAGTAGTCGTAGTAGTCGTAGTAGTAGTAGTAGTAGTAGTAGTAGTAGTAGTAGTAGTAGTAGTAGTAGTAGTAGTCGTAGTAGTAGTAGTAGTAGTAGTAGTAGTAACAGCAGCAGCAGCAGTAGTAGTAGTAGTAGTAGTAGTACTACTACTAATAATACTGATCATCGTAGTAGTAGTAGTAGTAGTAGTAGTACTAGTAGTAGTAGTAGTAGTAGTAGTAGTAGTAGTAGTAGTAATAGTAGTAGTAGTAGTAGTAGTAGTCGTAGTCCTAGTAGTAGTAGTAGTCGTCGTCATCGTCGTAGCAGTAGTAGTAGTAGTAGTAGTAGTAGCAGCAGTACTCGTAGACGTAGTCGTAGTCGTGGCGGTAGTAGTCGTACTGCTACTGATTATCGTGCTGGTGGTACCAATAGTAATGGGTCGTCGAAGTATCAGTTTTGGCACAAGGAGTAGCGATGTGGGGAGGGTGGTGGAGTAGGACGATGAGGGGCAGAATCTCTTGTCGCCCTCCCTCGAGACCTGGATGTTGAGCATCCACATGGCGCGCTTCCCGCGCGGCGCGCAACCGACGGCCTTGCGGAGCTGCAGGCTGGAGTTGACGTTGATGGCCTTCCGTCGGACGCCACTCAAAGTGGCCAGAAGACATAATTGGAAACAAACCCACATGTCGCCGCGCCGTCAGCTCTCGACGCGCCCAAGTGGACGTCGCCGACACCACGGCGAACCCACGGCAAGCCCTGCGCCCTTCGCGTTCGGAAGACGACGCGGGCAACGCTGCAAACCCACGGCAAAAACCACCGCGTCCGAGGCGGCGTTTGCCCTGAGGGCCGCGACGCCCTCTCCAAGACGCAAGGCCGCACGTCGGAACAAACGGCGCGGCGACACACATGGCCGATCCCGGAAAACCTGAACCCCAAAATGGTGCCATCTCTTGGGGGGGCATCTTTTACTTCTGCCGGCTTCCGCCGGCGGAGGCGGTCTCGTTTTACTTCTGCCGCCCTTCCGCCGCATTCCGCCGAGGAAGAGAATGCGACCCCTTCGATCTTCGAAGGCTAGGCCCTTCCGGAAGGCTCCATATAATGCACGTATATATATATATATATATATATATATATATATATATGCATATATGTAGGAAAAGAGCGGAATAATCTAGCACCCCGCGATTGCGGATAAGAGTGAAGGGGAATGAAACTTGAGCACTGCTCCTCCCATCCTCCAGGTGTCGCCCCCATGCCATATCACGCTCAAGTGTCGCGCCCACGTGTTGCTTCCAAGTGTCACCCCCGGGAGCCGAAAATCGGGAGGTTTAAACTCCGCCACCGTGCCCCTGGCACGGAGTGGAGAGCCCCAAGGCTCATGCAGCACTGAGGAGGTAGACGCTGAGCTGCTGTGTGCTGCTGCTGCTGTTGCTGCTGCGAGAACTGTAAGTCTTTAAGGGCAAAGACCAATCGTGTCCCAAGCCTTTTCGGGGTTTGCCGGGGTGGCTCCCGTGAGTTCTGAGGTGTTTCCCGCGCCTCCTGTGGACGCTGTGCCCCTCCCGAACCCTCCCATGAGTCCAAGAGGGCCCCGAGTCGCCGAACGATCGCTCCAAGACGCCCAGGATGGCCTCCATATGGCCCAAACGGCATTAAGACGCCACAAGAGGCCTCCAAGAGACCTCGAAGAGGCAACAATTATATTGATTTTCCATCGGTGTTTGAAAGATTTGGGCGTTCTCGCCGTTTCGGCTTTCCGACGCTCCAAGACGGATCCAGAGGCCCACAAGACCACCCAAAGACGGCCCAACAGGCCTCGAAGAGGGCCCCACGACGGCCTAAGAGCGCCCCAACACGGCCCAGGAGGCGCCCAAGACGATCCAAGAAGTGGCCCAAGATGGTCCAAAAGGGGGCCCAAGAGAGGGAAAACGCACTGAGAATCCGAGCCTTCCGCCCCAAGAGGCCCCAAAGAGGCCCCAAGAGGCGCCCAAGAGGCGCCCAAGAGGCCCCAAGAGGCGCCCAAGATGCCCCCAAGAGGCCTTAAAACTGCTTCCAAGAGGCGCCCGAGAGGCCCTCCCACGAGATATCAACGAACATCCAACAGGCTCAAAACCGGATGGGCCGAAGGCCATTCGATATTTCCTTGTCGCGGCGCCAGCGGCCGCGCGGCGTGTCTAAGCCAACGATGGGGTGTAAAGCGGCGAACTAGCACACAGGGAGGGCAGGACGAGGACGGGGCGGCCGCGGAGGAGGGGAGGAAGCGGGCGGCCCGCTCACGCCATGTCGGCCTTCAAGCACGGTGCACGAGGGGCGCGGCAAGGAACGGGCGGGCTTCTGCTCTGGCCACGGCGTGCCTCGGCCATGAATAAGCAAGCTCCCCGACCTGGACCCAAGGGAAGGCCCACAACGAGAGCCCCTCCTGCATCAAAAGTGGTTCGTATTATATTTTCTTGGCTCAACCTTTGCGCGCCGCGCCCCGCGCTGCGCGAGGCAAGGTCGGTTCCGCGCTCCGGCGCCGCGCCCCTGGCGCGGCGCCGCGCCCCTGTATTAAAAGTGGTTCGTATTATACTTTCTTGACTTAATATTTGCGTGTCGTGTTTCGCGATGTGCGAGGTAAGGTCGGTTCCGCGCTCCCGCGCCGCGTCCCTGGAGAGGGGTACGGTCGGGAACTTCTGCCTGGCGTGTCGCCGCGGCGGCCACGGCGACACGCCACGCCGTGCGAGCGGGCAGCGTGCCGCTCCGCGAAGCGCAGGGCGGGAGGCTCGGAGGTGGGCTCGGGACGCTGCCGCTCGGGGAGCCAGGAGAAGGCACGGCGAGGGCAGCAGATCAGGAATTGTTGGATGAGGAACCCTACAGTCGGGGCGTTGACCTAAGGAACCCTAAATAAGGAACGAGGCCCCTCCTTTCCCATAAGTTAAACTTCGATTCCCCATCGGAAACCTTGGGAAAACCTGAGGCAAGCTGTGAAACAATCAAGGAACACGGAACCCCTCCCCAACGAAAAGGGTTCCTTCTTCAAGACCCCGACTGTAGGTTGGGAAGCCGGTGGAACTCCAATGGTGGACTGGCCATGGACAGCACCGCCGCCCTCCTCAGAGAAGGAACCCTCCAGGGGCCGCAGCCTCCTGGCAAGTTCCTTCACCTGACCGATGCCGACGCCGACGCCGACGCCGACGCAGACGCCGACGCCGACGCCGACGCCGACGCCGACGCCGACGCCGACGCCGACGCCGCCGACGCCGACGCCCCCGACCGTAGCGTGTCGCACCGGAGCGTGGCGGGCCAGAGAACCGGCGGCGCGACGCGCTATCCCGGAGGGTTCCTGGGCGCAGATCTGCGGCCCAGGCCGCGAGGCGCGCAGCGCGAGGATCTTCGCGCCCCCTAGGGGGGGGGAGGAGGGGGAGGGGGAGGGGGAGGAGGAGGAGGAGGAGGAGGGAGGAGGGAGGAGGAGGAGGAGGAGGAGGAGGAGGAGAGGAGGAGGAGGAGGAGGGGGAGGAGGAGGAGGAGGAGGAGGAGGAGGAGGAGGAGGAGGAGGCTAGAAACTCGGACCAGTGGTCGAGCGAGTTTGGAAGAGCCGCTGGGCCAGCCTTGCGGGTGCAGCCTCGTGCGTGCGCGCGGGGTCTACGGGGTCTCCAGGCTCCCACGGGCGGGAAGCATCGGACAACTCGTGGCCAGGCCTGCCACCCTCACGCATGTGCGAGTTTCCACTGGCCCCTGGCCCCTCGCGGGTACACCTCTCAACCAATACCCTTGCCATGACACGATCCTTTCTCAAGATGTGCGTAGCGGTGACCTCGCTACGGTTGAACGCACGATACAGGTTTGAAGATGCCTCTCTGATGCCACTGCTAGCTCGACCATGCCCTAGAGTGCTTGGGCAACTAAGAATTGCAACATGTGGTATACCTTGTTCGTGGTGTTGAATCATGTGCCCAGCTCTTTGGGCGTAGGTTGTTTAGCAAGTGTGTTCTGCCACCCCACCTTCTTCTCCTTCGGGGAGGAGTTTACCCCTTGTCATCCCCTCTCCCCCTGGGTCTGAAGGGTGGGTGGGTTCGCGAGGCGTTGGAGCGTCCAAGATGGCCCAAAATGGTTCCAAGAGGGCCCAGACAGCCTAAGATGGCCTCCAACATATCGTTCAAGATAGCCCAAGATGGCTCAAGGTAGCCTTCGACATGCCTCCAAGAGGCCGCAAGATCGCTGAAAGGCGGCTGCAAGTGGCCACGGGGCCTCCCCAGGGCGCCACCGAAAACCCCAAAGCCTTCCCAAACCTTGGGGACTTTCATGTTTGTTTCCTTCACGCCTTTTTGATTCCGATGTGCTTTTGAAGGCTCCATGTGGCTCCAAGATCGCCCACGAGAGCCGAGAGAGGCCCAAGAGGGCTCCATGAAATCCCCAGGAGCGCCATAGAGCGCTCCAAGAGCGCCCCAAGAGGGGCACCAGATGCGATTTGTTGTTGGCCTCCGACGGGAGGGGGGCGTAATTAGTTACACTCCCCTCTTTGGATCCGTGAGCGAGAGCAGATACAGGCTCAACCTTGGAGAGAGGAGAAAACTCCTGCCCTGGAAAAAAAAACAGCTGCCACACGAAGCCCAGGTATAACATTCTTTTAGATTGGATTGGCCACGCCGGCCTGGCCCGCGAGGGTGGGTCGGGCAAGAGTGGGCGCCAACGGCGGGGCCATTTCTGGAACCAGACAATGCCGAGGTGGGTCACCAGTCAGGGAGTCGCCAGAACATCCAGGACACGGACCTCCCTGGACTCCCCAGAACCCCCCAGGACTCCGAAAGACGCCCAAACACGTCCGTTTTCCTGAGCCGTCCCCGAAGACACAGAAAACTTCTCAGAAGGCCGGATGGCTTCTGAGAAGCCCCGCCGCCTTCTGATACGGCCTGTTCCGTCTCACTTTCCCCCCTCGCTCCCTCGCTCGCCGCCGATTTCTGGAACGCAATTTTCCGTGGTTCCAGACCTCCGATGTCTTAATTTTGTCACAGCGTGGACATCCGGAGCTCTGGACCTCGTCCCTGCAACCGGCGATCGTCCTAGGCCGTTCGTTGACGGCCCCAGGGCCCGGAAAGGGCCCAGGGGGCTTGCTTACTGTTTTTGAGGGCTCTAATTGGAAGGTCACACTTCTCAGTCTGCGGCGCCTGTGTAGCGTACCTTCGCAAGGTACTCGCAACCTGATGAAACAAGCTTTGCCATGATAACAGGCAGCGCGCTCTCCCAATCTGGCATGCCGTTCGGTGCGCCTACAACCAAACAAGAGCCAAATGCAGAGCTCCTTACCCCCATCGAAGATAGCCATCTACTTCCATTGTGCTTGAGGACGTGCAGCCCGTCGGGGGCGTCAATGGCTAACACGAGTTCATCGAACTCGTCGAACTTCAGCCCAGTGAAACTGCACCTCCAGCCCTGGTATTTCTTCGTCCACGCTAAACGAGTATGTTTACACTCTACGCGCATCCCATCCCGGAGCCAGTCGAAAGAGAACGACCCAATGAGTGGGTCATGAAACTTGCTATTGGGATAAACCATCTGGTGAACATCTTTGACGACACCTTGTATGCGCAAGCCGCGTAGTGCGGGTGTAATGCGCGTGAATGGATTGTGTTTGTATGCTTCGAGTGCCATATGTCCCTGCGTCGCAACCAAGTATGTCCTAATCGTTTGGAGGACATAATGATCTTCGATGTCTACGGTCGAGATAAGTTGGCACTGATTCGCGCCTGAACTTAATTTTGCCAGGATGTCCAACATACCTTCACGCCAATCGTTCACAGCACGGCTGCTATACAAAGAGATGGTGTGCCCAACAGAAGCTGTTTTCTTACCTGCCGTTGATACACCAAACTTGAAATCGTGCCGTATAAACAACAGGCGATCTGGGGTGTAGCCAACTAACAAAAGTTCGCTGCATAAATGAAGCTTCACGTTGTGAAACTGAAACCGCCAGGTGCCCATAGATAGTGAACATAGCTGGGCACTCTTGCACTGGACGCCAATCCCATCGCTGATCCAGTCATGCTCGGCCTGATGCCTGGATCGTCTCCTCCCGTCAATACACACCCCAAGTGGTGGATCTTCAATGACCGAATCTGGAAACACATCCCCCCATACTTTGCGAGCAACTCTCTCTAAAATGAGTCCTCGGATTTGGGGATTGACTTTTGATAGGGTGCACGCATGGTACGCTGGTGTGGCAGGACACACTCGGGGCAACGCAGAAGTCTGGATCAAAGACCCACACACCACCTTATTTCGCTGTGCACATATGTGCAGCAGAGGTGCATTCACCTGATGTGAGCAATATCTGAAACCCAACACCATGCCCAATCTCGAACTGATGCCATATGCCATCGCTGCTCCCAGATGTGCAAGAGGAAATGCTTCTAAATCACTGAGGAAGGAAGGTCGCAGAAGTTTCCTGCGAAAAGACTATCTCCTCTTACCGAGAAAGGTTCCTATACAACAAAACACCCCCAACACGTTCACGAACAAATGAACACCCTTGAACCTTGATGGCTTGAATTGGACCTGATTTGGCCTTCAGTCCAATAATATGGGGCGAGAATGGCATGAACCAAAAAGGCTAGGGAGGGCCACTGAGAGCCGAAATTATGCAAAAACCTGTGGTTGTGATTTTGTGCGTAGGGAAGAAATGCGAGAAGGCCGGGCCCTCTCTGAAACGCGCCACGTCCGTGCTTCCAACTCCTCTTGGAACTAACGGCTGCGTGGTCCATGCCCGATGTTGCAGGCGTCCGCGCAGGACACCCGCCCCACCATCTGGGATTACGAACTGGTGGCTGGGAATTTCGGGCTCATATTTGTGATGGTCCAAACGATGTGTGCACATCGGCTCAGCCATCTGCGCTCCAGCCACTATGCCAGAAAGTCGGATCCTCTGGCCCGAGAGCCGCCACCGTGGCGCGAGGCACGACTTGGAGTGCCCTCAGCTCCCCTGTAGTCCTCAGTCCCGTCCCCAGGATTGAACAATTCAGGCGGCCTCAACGTCCTAAATCTCCGTGGGCTCCCGGCACGTCTCCCCCGGCGCCGTCATCTCGCATGACGTTTTCGAGCCCCAAAAAGGCCCCAAGAAGGGCCCAATGAAGCACGAGAGGGAGTAGCAGGAGGATGGCTAGGAGCAGTTTGCAGAGCCAGACGAGCAAATCGGGCGGGTAGACCCTCATGGGCGGGTCGGGAAGGCGGGCCCAGGAGCCCAGGTCGAGCAGGCGGATTGCTGAAGCGTGCGTCCTGCATAAATCAAGAGGGAGTCTCGAGCGATGGTGCGATTCCCAAATGAATCGTGAGGAAATTCACAGCGAGAGCGTGATTCCTGAGTGTCGAGGGCGCGGCGTCTGAATAAATTGCGAGGAAGTCCCACGCGAGAGCGCGATTTCTACATACATTGTGAGAAAGTCCCGCGCGAGAATGCGAATGCTATGCTGTGGAGAAGTATCAGGCGGGAGTCGCTGTTGATATCAACCGGGGGCCAAGGACACAATTCTGAGACCCAAGACTTTTCCGGATTTTAAACGAAACAGGGTGCGAGCCCCGGGGAGAGCACTTCAGTTGAACAATTCTTCTATAGTGAGAATTCGACAACACCACCATAATTCGGCAACAGCAACAGCAACAGCAGCAACAACAACTACTACAATTACTAGCACGTGGGGACACTCCGTTCTCACCAGTGCCAGGGTTTTCATAGGAGGCGGGCAATACCCCCACTTTGTGGGGGGGCCGGTTCAAGCTCTACCAAATTTCCAAACGACTCTTCGCCACCACCCACACCCAGCTTCCCGCCCTATGACGTTCGGACACTTCACTTCGTGGCATGCGGACGACCGTGGCTACTATTCAGGGCCCCGCGGCCGACGACGACGGCGTGCGCGCGCGAAGAAAAAACGAATGTGTCCCGCATGGTATTATTTGACAGGGATGATGGCCCTGGCAGGTGCGCAACCGTTGTCGCAGAAGTTCGAAAAAGTTGCTCGCAAAAGCCCGTTTGACAGAAATGTTTAAAAAGTGTTGGGTTTCCTACGAATCCGCAAGAGCGCGCGGGATGAAATTTTGACATTTTTTGTTGAAAAACCATTGGTTTTTTGATGTTTTTATGTTAAAATCGCTGCGAACACTAAGGTTTTGGAAGGATTTCGTCTTGCGCGCGCGAATGTCCACTTTACCTTATTTTTTGCAAGGGATTCTTGAAATTTGATTATATTAGAACAAGAAATGTCATTTTCTACTGTTTTTTGCAAGGGAAAGCGGATTACAACAAAACAACCGGATCCTGTACACACCCTCTTTTCTGAGGCTTCCTCACGAAAATGATGAAAATGTAGCTGCGGCCTAGGCGGCGCAGGGGGGGCGCGCACCAGGGGGCCCAACAATAATTATTCTTTAGAATAAATAATGTTCAACACCAACAACAATCTCCACTCTCCTCGTCGTCCCTTCTCCCTTTTCCTTCTGTCCTTCTCCTCCCTCTTCCTCCCCTTCCTCCTCCTCCTCCTCCTCCTCCTCCTCCTCCTCCTTCTCCTACTACCCCATTCTCCTTTCCCCGCTTCGGTCCAGCCGAGCCTTCATGACGATCGTGGAGCCCTCCGTGATCACTCGCGTCAGGATGCGCGAGATAAGGCTGAGGGACCAGCGGAACGCCTCCGCGGAGCGGGCTGCCTCCTCCACATAACACAACAACACGAATACTGCTCTTCTCTCTCTCTCTCTCCCGAATCTGTGCTGAGAGTGGCCCCCCTCCGCGTACTGGCCTGTTGCGCACATGTTTTGCGCGGTCGAGCTTTCATTCCGTTTTTTTTTCATGTTGATCCCTCCGCGTTTTGTTTTTTACACACTATTTGCCTGAACTGGCTTTCCATCGGGCTTTGTATCATCCGATTGCATACACTTTAGCACGTGGTTGTCTCGCTGCAGCGTGGTCCTTGTTTTCGGATTCGCGCTGTACTCCCGTTGTTCAAACTTGCGCTCCCACCCCAGCGTGGGCCACTTTGCTGGATCCCACAGGTCTCGCAAGTCTCGCAGGCGCCACAGGCCCCACAAGTCCCACAGGACCCACTGGTGTCGCAGGTCGCCCCGCAGGTCCCACAGGGTGCACGGGTCTGACAGGTTCCACATGCCCCACACGTGTCGCAAGCCTCGCGTGGACCACAGGTCCAATAGGTCCGACAGGCCCCGCAGGTCCCACAAGTGTCGCAAGGCCCACACAAGTCCCCCAGGTCCCACAGGTCCTGCGGGTCCCGCCGGTGCCACGGGTCCTCCATGTCTCGCAGGTCTCGCAGGCCCCACAAGTCCCACAGGTCCCACAGGTGTCGCAGGTCTCACACGCCCCGCAGGCCCCAGAAGTACCCCAGGTCCTACGAGTTTCCCTTTTTCCGAGTGCGCATAACACAATGGGGTCTTTCGTGGAGTTCCAGGTCGGCTAGGACACGTGTCCGCGGATAGAGACATATCAGCACAGTAGGTAGTGATGGGTGGGAGGGATCGGATGTCAGATATGGCGCGAGCGCACATAGCTTGTCCTCCTCCCCCCCTCTCCTCCCCTCGTCAACCTCCTCCTCCTCCTCCTCCTTGTCCTGTTTTTCCTCTTCCTCTTCCTCTTCTTCCCCTTCTTTCTCCTCCTCCTTCCAACGCGGGGGGTATAGTGCCCTTTGCCGCGCACGCCGATCCGCGCCACTGCAAGCTGCAGCAGAACTTGGATCAGATGGCGATCACCGACCGACCGTCCTTTTTCAGGGCTCGAGCTAAACCATGTTTGTCGCTTTCGTGTCGTTTTCGTTCTGCCTTTGCTGCGACACGAAATCAAAACGAGCACGGTCCACGAAATCGCAAACACACCGTTTAGCTCGTGCTCTATCCTCTTTCTCCTGCCCCTCTCCTCCTCCTCCTGCCCTTCCTCATCCTCCCCCCTTCCCCTCCTCCTGCAGTAACTCGGCGGCGAGCCTGGGGTGAAATGGGAAGGGGCGGGCCTTCTCAGAAGGCTCGGAAATCCCCCAGCCTTCTGAGAAATTCCCTAAGCCCTCCCCGGAGACACGGAAAACTTCTCGGAAGGCGCGAGGGCTTCTGAGAAGTCCCGCCGCCTTCTGAGGCCTTCTCCTTCTCACTTCCCCCCCCTCGCTCGCCGCCGAGAGAAACGAGGAGGAGCAATAGCATAGGGACGGAAAGGGGGCGAGGGAGAGCCCGCTTCCTTCGGGACTGGTCGGATGCGGGCAGCGCGGCCACGCAGCTGCGGGGGGTCCTTCTGCGATCAAGCCTGCGTTCCGTAACCCTCTTGCGGTGGGCTCTTGCTTTGAACAGAGCGCTGTTGCGCTCTCCCTTCTCCTTCCCGCCGCTCTCCTCCGCGCCTCCTGCCTCCTCTCTGCTCCTTGCGCCTGCCTTCCATTTGCCTCCTGCATCGCTCCCCAGAGGGGCTACCAATTGCGCACCTGCCGCCGCTTTCGTGGGCCCATAGGAGGAGTGGTGCCTTACGCACGCCAAAGTCAAACCTCGCCCTCCCTGGGTGCTCCCTACTGTGCCACCGTCGCTACTCCCGTGGGCCCCTGAAAAGTCCAGCCGAGTGGTGTCTTACGTGGGTTGGAGTGAGATCTCGCCCTCCCAGCCCCCCGAGAGGGTTGCCAATTCAACAGCGATCGCAACTTTCACGGGCCCCAGGGAGGTCCAGCGGAGTGGTGTCCTACGCAAATGAGAATAGGACCTTGCCTCTCCTTGGGTGCAGCCAACAGCGCACCTGTCGAAACGTGCGCGCGGCTCTGGGAAGTCCAGCGGAGTGGTGTCTTTCGCAAACCAGAATGAGACCTCGCCTTCCCTGGGCGCTGCTACATGTGCAGCTGCAGTAACTTTCACCACCCCCCTCAGCAGTCCAGCGTAGTGGTGCCCTACGCGGATCAGAATGAGACCTCGCCCTCCCTGGGTGCTGCCAGCTGCGCAATTGTTGTCCCTTTCGTGGCCCCCTGTGAGGTCCAGCGGAGTGGTGTCCTAAGCAGGTCAGAGTGAGACCTCGCCCCCACTGGGTGCTTTTACCTTCACAAAAGTTGCCAAGGGGGAACGGTGAATCAACAGGGCCGTCGAGATTACCCGGCTGCGGTAGTAGTAGTAGTAGTAGTAGTAGTAGTAGTAGTAGTAGTAGTAGTAGTAGTAGTAGTAGTAGTAGTAGTAGTAGTAGTAGTAGTAGTAGTAGTAGTAGTAGTAGTAGTAGTAGTAGTAGTAGTAGTAGTAGTAGTAGTAGTAGTAGTAGTAGTAGTAGTAGTAGTAGTAGTAGTAGTAGTAGTAGTAGTAGTAGTAGTAGTAGTCGTAGTAGTCGTAGTCGTAGTCGTAGTCGTAGTAGTAGTAGTAGTAGTAGTAGTAGTAGTAGTAGTAGTAGTAGTAGTAGTAGTAGTAGTAGTAGTAGTAGTAGTAGGTGGCTTCCCTTCTGTCTCGCAAAAGTTGCCACGTTCGTGGGCCCTTGGAATGTCCAGCGGGTGCGTGTGTGTGTGTGTGTGACGCAAATCAAATTGCGTGCTGCCAAATGCGCATCTGTCGTCACGTTCGTAGGCCGCTGGGAGGCAGAACGGAGCGGTGTACTACGCAGGTCAGAATCAAACCTCGCCCTCCCAAGGTGCCGCCAGCTGCGCACCTGCCGCCACGTGCGTGGGACCCTGAGAGGTCCAGCGGAGTGGTGTCTTACGCAAATCAGAATGCGACCTCGCCCTCCCTGGGTGCTGACCACGGTGCCGCCGTCGCCACGTTCGTCGGCCCCTGGGGGGTCCAATGCAATGGTGCCTGACGCAAATCAAAATGAGACCTCACCCTCCCGTGGTGTTGCAAGCGGCGCATCTGTTGCCCCTGGGACCAGAGTGTGGTAGAGACTTACGCAGATCAGAATGAAACGCTCTCCCTCTGTGGGTGCTGCCGGCAGCGCGGCTGTCGCAACTTTTGTGGGCCCTGAAGCGGCCAGCGGAGTGATGTCTTTCGCAAATAAGAATTAGACCTGGCCCTCCCTGGGGTGCTTACAATTGAACAACTGTTACAACTTTCATGGGCCTCTGGGAGGCCCAGCGGAGTGGTGTCCTATGCGAATGAGAATAGGACCTAGCCTTTCCTGGGTGCAGTCAACTGCACACTGTCGCCACTTTCGAAGGACCCTGGGAGGTCCAGTGGAGTGGTCTTGCGCAGATCAGAACGAGACCTCGCCCTCTCTGGAACGCTGCCCACTGCGCAACTGCAGCAGCTTTAGTCAGTTCCCGGGAGGTTCAGTGGAGCAGTGTCCTAAACAGACCCAAATGATACTCGCCCCGACAGGGGGGCTGCCAATTGCGCAACTGTCGCAACGAACATGGGCCAATCCCTCTGCTATCCGCCTGCTGATCTTCTGTCCGTTCACCTTTCAATACCCTCATTCCTGCCCTTCCCCCCTTTTCTGCCATCCTCCGACCTGTTCACGCCCCCGCCCCTCTTTCTCCCTTCTCCCATGTGTTCCTGTCTCCTTCCGCCTGGTTCCCAATTTTGGCCATCGTTGTCTGTCCGTCTTCTCCTTTGCATGCCCAATCCAGAGCTACTGTCTCACTCGAATCGGGCCCGTGGCTCGTGCAACGCGTAAGTCGTAAGTCCTCGTGTTGCTTAAGCGCATACCTTGCCACCTTGGCATCCGTAAAAAGCGGGCCCATCGCTAGGGCCACCTGTTGCAGATGGATTGGATACGTCGCCAGGATACGTTATCGTGTCGTCAGCTAAGCCGCCCCAGAGGGCCTCCTCGGCCCCGTCGTCGTCGGTGAGGCCGCGGATGACCTGTACGCAGGCCGTCACGAAGGGTCCGAAGAGCTCAGTGGGGATGCCGTACCCGACGTGCCGCAGGCCGAGGGCGGAGATGTCCTCGACCATCTTCTTCGGATCCTCGGGTCAGATCTTCAAGGGTCACGCTATGGCCCTCGCTAGAAAAAGAAAACAACTGCATAAACAGAGACTCCTGAAGCTCAGCGCGGATTTCTTGGATCCGATCTGGGCCCCGCCCGGAAAGTTTATGTTTATGGCAATTTTGTTTCTTCGACTATCGCCGTCAAGTGTTGTCGCCGCCGATGCTGCCGCGCTGCCGCCTGCCGGCCGCTGCTGCCCCACCGTGGCTGCTGCTGCTGCTGTTGCCGCTGCCCTGCCGCTGCTGCCGCGGCTCTCTGCTGCTGCTGTTGCTGCTGCGCTGCCACCTGCTGTTGCTACCCCCGCTTGCCAAAACACCCATGTTTGCACACCCCTCGCCAAGCCAGGGCTGGAGCCACACAGCGTTTTCGCTGTCGTTTCGATTTGCTTTCGTTTTCCTTCGTCTAGTCTTCGATCCGCATTTGCCGCAAAACAAGATCGAAACGAAAATGCCCCACGAAATCACCAAAACACAATTTAGCTCGACCCCTGCGCCAAGCTTCGTGAGCCGGAACTTCTTTCACGAGGCAAAGAATGGTCAGCCGTGGTACGAGGGAGCGCGTTTAACGGGCGCTTGCCTTGGGAGCATTCGGCGGCGCGTTTGAAACGGGGGGGGGACCCGCTCCGAACATTCGGCGTCGCCGATCAGAACCAGGTGGAATCTCCTCCCCACGACCCCCCCCGACGCTAGGGGGGGGCATTCGAAACCGCACCCCAGCGCCGGCGGCGGCTGGCAGCACCGACGGCGGCGACGCGGCGACGATGACCAGGACGAAGACGACGGCTACAAAGTCCGGTGTCGTCCTCTGTCCTCGGCCCTGAATGTCGCAATATTGGAGGGAACGGACCGCACATGAAAATATTATTCGCATTGCGTCGCGTGCTTCCCGCGGCTTCCGTCGTGGTCGTCGTCGCAGTCGCCGTCGTCGTCGTTGTCGTCGTCGTCGTCGTCGTCGTCGTCGTCGTCGTCGTCCCCTTCGTCGTCGTCGCCGTCCTCGTCGTCGTCGTCTTCGTCGTCGCGTCGTCAACGTCGTCGACAAGCTCTAAGACGTCGTGGAAGCCGTCGTGGTCGTCGGCGTCATCGCCGTCGACGCCGTCGTCGTCGTCGCCGTCGTCGCCGTCGTCCTCGTCGTCGTCGTCGGTGGTCGTCGTCGTCGTCGGCGTCGTCATGCTCGAAGGCGTCGGGGTCGCCGTCGTCGTTGTCGCCGTCCTCGTCGTCGCCGTCTTCGTCGCCATCGTCGTCGCCTTCGTTTCGTCGTGTTCGTCGTCGTCGTTGTCGTCGTCGCCGTCGTCGACGTCGCGGTGGTCGCCGTCGCCGTCGCCGTCGCCGTCGTTGTCGTGGATATCGCCGTCGCCATCGTCGTCGCCTTCGTCGTGGTTGCCGTCGTCATCGTCGTCGTCGTCGACGTCATCGTCGTCCTCGTTGTCGTCGTCCTTGCCGTCGTCGGCGCCGTCGTCGTCGTCGTCGTCGTCATTGTCCTCGCCGTTCGCTTCGTCGGAATTCTCGTTGTCGTCGTCGTTGTCGCCGTCGCCGTCGCCGTTGTCATCGTCGTCGTCGTCCGCGTCGTCGGCGATCGACGTCGTCGCCGTCGTCGCCATTGTCGTCGTCACCGTCGTCGTCACCGTCGTCGTCACCGTCGTGTCGCCACCGTTGTCGTCGTCGTCGTCGTCGTCGTCGTCGTCGTCGTCGTTGCCGTCATCGTCGTCGTCGTCGCTTTCGCCGTCGTCATATTCGTCGTCTTCGTTGCCGTCGTCGGCGTCGTCGTCGTCCTGATCGGTCGCTTCGTCGACGTTCTGGTCGTCGTCGTTGTCGTCGTCGTCGTCGCCGACGTCGCCGTCGTCGTCGTGCACGTCCGTCGTTGCCATCGTCGTCGCGTCGTCGTTGCCGTGGCCACCGTCGTCGCCATCGTCGTCGTCGTCGTCGTCGTCGTCGTCGTCGACGTCGGGGTCGCCGCCGGCATCGTCGTCGTCGTCGATTGCACCGTCGTCGTCTTCGTCGTCGTCGTCGCCGTCAACGTTGTCGTCGTCGCGACGTCGTCGCCATCGTCGTCGTCGTCGTCGTCGTCGTCGTCGCCGCCGTCGTCGTCATCGTCGTTGCCGTGCTCGTCGTCATTGTCGTCGACGCCCTCGTCGTCGTCATCGTCGTCATCGTCGAGGTCGTCGTCGTCGTCGCCCTTGTCGTCGTCGTCGTCGTCGCTTTCGCCGTCGTCATATTCGTCGTCTTCGTTGCCATCGTCGCCGTCGTCGTGATGGTGCTCGTCGTCGTCGTCGTCGCCGAGGTCGTCGACGTCGTCGTCGTCGTCGTCTTCATCGTCGTCGTCGTCGTCGCCGTCGTCGTCGACGTCGTGCTCGTCGTCGTCGTCATCGGCGTCGTCGTTGCCATCGTCATCGTGGTCGTCACCGTCGTCTTCGACGTCGCCGCCGTCGTCGTCGTCGTCGTCGTCGTCGTCGTTCACGTCGCCGTCGTCGTCGTCGTCATGGTCGCCGTTGCCGTCGTCGTGGTCGACGCCGTCGTCGTCGTCGTTGTCGTCGTCGCCGTCGCCGTCGCCGTCGTCGTCGTCGTCGTCGTCGTCGTCGTCGTCGTCGTCGTCGTCGTGTCGCCGTCGTCGTCGTCGTCGCCGTTGCCGCCGTCGTGCTCGTCGGCGAGACCATCGTCGTCGTCGCCGTCGTCGTCGTCGTCGTCGACATCGCCGCAGTCGTCGTCGTCGTCGTCATCCCTGTCGTCGCCGTTGCTGTCGTCGCCGTCGTCGTCGCCGTCGTCGCCGTCGTCGTCGTCGTCGTCGTCGCCGTCGTCTCCGTCGTCTGCGTCGTTGTCGTCGCCGGCGTCGTCGTTGTCTTCGTCGTCGTCGTTGTCGCCGTCATGGTGGTCGTGCTCGTCGTCGCCGTCGTCGTCTTCGTTGTCGTCGCCGTCGTCGTCGTCGTCACCGTGCTCGTCGTCATTGTCGTCGTCGACGCCCTCGTCGTCGTCATCGTCGTCATCGAGTTCGTCGTCGTCGCCGTCGTCGCTTTCGTCGTCGTTACCTCGTCGCCGAGGTCGTCGTCGTCGCAATCGTCGTTGTCGCTGTCGACGCCGTCGTCGTCGCCGCCGTCATCGTCGCCGTCATCGTCGTCGTCATACTCGTCGTCGTCTTCGTCGTCGTCACCGTCGTGGTCGTCGTGCTTGTCGTCGTCTTCGCCGTCGTCGTCGTCGCCGCCGTCGTTGTCGTCGCCGCCGTCGCGGTCGTCGTCGTCGTCGGCGTCGTCGTCGTCGTGCTCGTGCTCGTCGTCGTCGTCGTCGTCGTCGTCGTCGTCGTCACCGTCGTCGTCGCCGTCGTCAACGTCGTCGTCGCCGTCGCCGTCGCCGTCGTCGTGGTCGTCGTCGTCGTCGTCGTCGTCGCTGGCGCTGGCGCCAGCGCCAGCTGGCGCTGGCGCCGGCCCAGAGAAACGGGGGGGTTCGAACCCCATCTTCCCCCGTTGAATCGTCGTCCTCGTCGACGCGTCCCGCCGCCGCCGCCAGCCACCGCTGGCGCCCGAGGCGTGGGGAGGGGGGTTCGAACCACCGCCCCCCTTGAACCAGGGGCGGAGGGTGGGCGACTCTGGACCCCCTCCTCTCCAAGCGCCCACAGAAAGCGCTCTTTCCGTGGTATGTACCCTGCTTGTTTTGTCTGAGCGTTCCGTCGCACTCTGATGACGCTCGCTCGTTCGTCGGTTCATCTCTGTGTCTGTGCACGTGCCGGTGTCAGCATCTCTGTTGATGGTATCAGTGTGCCCGTCTTTCCGTCCGTCTATTCGTCGGTCAGAGAGGGGGGGTGAGTGTATTCGCTTGCATGCATGCCCATCCATGTCGCAAGTGGGGCGCGGTCCTTGTAGATCTCCAGAGTCATGGAGACAATTCGGTCCGCGATGAAGTGAAGCCGAGTGGTGGACTGCTTGAAGTAGTCCTGGCCCGCTGGAGCCAGCGCGAAGAACTTCGAGTATACCTCCAGGTGGCCCGCATCAGAGGAGAGCTTTCCAATCAGCAGGGGTGGGCGCAGGAGGAACGAATCGAGGAGGACACACCTGCATAAACGTACACGCTCGGAGGTCCGCGCGAATTTCTTGGATCGGCGCTGGGCCCCCCGGCCTGGCGCGCGAAGCGCGCCTGGAGCGGTGCTGGGGGCGCCGCCAGCGGCGTCCAACTCCGGTCCAAGAAATCCGCGCGGACCTCCCAACGTTTGTGTTCACGCCGATCTGTCTCCTTCTCGCGAAGGGGAAGAGAAGTACGGTAGGAGCTCAACCACGAGAAACCTTCCACAAAAGAGAGACCACCTTGAACCCCCGAGGTTGCCTAGTGATCTCTGGTCTGGGAACGTCACGTTTTCCATGGTGAAAGTCGCGTGTCCATGGTAACCCCATCGAAGCCCAAGAAAACCAGGGCACCCTAGAGTCAACGGGCGAAGAACGGTATAAAATAAACTGTTTCGCTGTCGGGGGCGCCTGTCCCAGGGCGGCTGGAAAGTTTATACCCTTACGGTGGCACCGTAGGGGTATAAACTTTCCAGCCGCCCAAAGACAGGCGCCCCCGACAGCGAAACAGTTTATTTTATACCGTTCTTCGCTCGCTGATAGAGGCAGGCAAGGTGCTGGCACGTGTCCCCACTGTGCGAGAAGTCAGGCGCCGGGAGGGCCGACGAGGTCGGCCACCCGTGGCAGGCGCTTGCGAGGCCGCTCGGGCTCCCCTGCCTCTGCCAGGCCCCCATGGCGGGCGAAGGCGGCGTGGAGCTCTCAGAATCGCTGATCACGCGAGCGGCCCTTGCCCCCCTCCACTTCCGCCCTCCGACAGGCCCCCTTCCTCCTCCTCCCTGCCCCCGCCCCCCGACTACGACCACTGTGCTGCCAGGTGGAACGACGAACCAGGAACGACAAATACACTCGGCCCTCCCCTCCCCTCCGCCCTCCGACAGGCCCCCTTCTTCCTCCTCCCTTCCCCCGCCCCCCGACTACAACCCCTGTGCTGCCAGGTGGCACGACGAACCAGGAACGACGGATACACTCGGCCCGTATCAGAAGGATGCGCGATACGGGTGCAAGGGTCTTGGACGCCCATTTCGAGCTTTTCCAGCGGGGCGCGGCCAGCGAACGTGGCCAAGGATAGACCGAGGAGGCAAGGATAAAACGGATACCCTTGGCAGGGATGCCCACGTCCTTACTATGCGGGTTGACTGTAAGGGCCAAACATGGAACGACAACCCTTGTGCTGCCATGAGGACGCCCCCCCCCGCCCCCGACAAGCCTCCTTGACTCGCGTTCCAAGGCCCCTGGCGTCGTGATTGTTTCGCAACGTCGATCCCCAGAGGTCTGGGGGCCCGAAAGGGGCCCAAAAGTGCCCCTTCAGGGCCTTTTTCTTCACCCCCCATTCGGGTGACCCCCCGGCCACCCGCCCGAACCTCAGAAGTCTGGCCCCTTTCCAGGGGACCGGTGTTTCGTCCCGAATCGTCTTTCGACGCTCCCGAGGCCCGGCGAGGGCCCCCAGAGGCCGAACGGAGCGAGGCCGAACCACAGAATCAGCGAACGCGCGAGGAGGTCTGGGCCCCCTCCTCCTCCTCCTCCTCCTCCTCCTCCTCCTCCTCCTCCTCCTCCTCAACCCCTTGTGCTGCCACGAGGAACGATCGCCGAGGAGCGCATGGGGGCGTGTCTGGCCACGGCGAGCCTCGGCTACGCACACCAGTGGAGGCCAGTCCGCCAGACTCCTTCCACAAGAAACCCAACCCTGAGACGCCCAGGACGTCCATCGATCGTTGGTGTGGGAACGTCACGCCTGCCATGGCAAAACCATCGAAGCCCAAGAAACCCAGGGCACCCTGGAGGCAAGCAGGGTGTTTCTTTCGGGCCAGGCGAAAGGGGGGGGATAGCAAAGGGGGGGTTGAGAATCAGCTCACGTAGCTGGCTTTCCCGGCGCCTCCCGGCTCCAGAAGGCGGCCATGTATCGAGGAATGGGCCCCTCGGTGGGGCCGAAACCGGCTGCATGCAACAGATTTCGTACCCCCCCCTTTCCCTATCCCCCCCTTTCGTCTGGCCCGAGCCTCCACCGTATGGGCTCCCCGACCCGGCTCGGAGGAGCGGCCCGAGAGCGCCGGAGCGCCTCCCGAGCCCGAGAGGCGGTCCTCACCTCTCGCGGCTTCTCTCCCTGGCCGTGGGGCGCAGGGCGCAGGCTGGCCCCTTGGGCGCACCGAGCGGCAGGAAAGGGAGCACTGGCCCCCTCCTCTTCTCCTCCTCCTCCTCCTCCTCCTCCTCCTCCTCCTCCTCCTCCCCCAGCTGGCCTGCCCAGTTCCGCCGATGCGACTTCTGCTGGCTCGGCTGCCGCGTTCTGCCGATCCGATTCCTCCCGATCGCCGATCCGACGTGTCCTCCTCCTCCTCCTCCTCCTCCTGGAACTCCTCCTCCTGCTCCTCCTCCTCCTCCTGGGGTCCGCGCCGCTGTTGGCCACAGATCTGGGGCCCCCGCAGGGCAGCGTCGATCGACTGGAGCCACACTGGGGAGGCCGCGGCAGCCGGGCACCCACGAGAGCCTCGAGACGGCCCACAAGAGCCACAGAGATCGGCGGCGAGCGAGGGCGGGGAAGCGAGAAGGAGCAGGCCTTCTCGGGAGGCGGCGGGGCTCCTCGGAAGCTCCCGCGCGCCGTCTGAGGAGGTGGTCGGTGTCTTCGGGGAGAGCTCAGGGAGCTCCTCAGAAGTCGGGGGCGCGCAAGCTTTGATGAGCGATCCTTGGATCTGGCGCGCGGTCGCCAGATCCATGGATCGGGGGAGGTGCCCTCCCCAAGATGCGGCAAGTGCCGCCTCGCTCGGCGGCGGGAATCCGCGATTCCCCATGGAGACGGGGCCCGTCGCTAATCCACGCCCCCTTGATCCAGGTTTGCGATCGCCTGCAGAAGGCCGGGGGGGCTTCCGAGCCTTCTGAGAAGGCCCGCCCCTTCTCACTTCCCCCCCAGGCTCGCCGCCGAGAGGAGGGCGGCGCCGCGGAGGGAGCCCATTGAGGGGGGGGGGGCGGGGGATGGTGGCACGCTTTGAATAAAAGCAATGCTTCGCGTGCGGTGGTGCCAGTGGGCTCAGGCTCCACCGGGGAGTGGCGCCGAGGGGAGGGGGGAATAAGGCATCAAGCGACCACAAATCTCTCCTCCCCCCCTCCGCAACCCCATCTCCCCTTCCCGCCTCTTCCCCCCACCCACCCCCGCATTTACACACAGAAGGAATCACTCAGGATGTCTTCGGCCTTTCGAAATGGTGTTCTCGCTGTAGCGTTGGCCCCATTTCAGGATGGGCGCTTTGCTGCTCCCGTTGTTCGCAATGGCGCTCTCGCCCCACCGCGGGCTTCATTTCTGGATCCGACTTCTTCCTTGTCATTGTCGCCCCCCCCCCTTTCCCCCTCTCCGCCTCCCCCTGGCCTTCCTGGTCCTCCTACTCCTGCTCCCGCCGCCGCTGTTCCTCTCTCCTCCTTCTCCTGCGCAGCTCCCCCTCTTCTGCTTGCGAATCTTACGGTGGGCTCGTTTGGAGATCCAGGTCTGCCAGGCCACCCGTCGGCACATAGAGAAAAACTCGGCGCAGTGGGAAGGGATGTGCGGGAGGGGTGGGATGTCAGATGTCGCGCGTGCACCTATCGGCGAAGCTCTCTCCCCCCCCCGCCTTCCACCCTGCCGCTCCGCCGCCGCCGCCGCCCTCTCCGCCTCCCGCCCCACCTGCGGGGGGGGGGGGGGCGGGGATCGACGCGGAGCACCCTGTGTGATGATGCAGTCTTTGTTGGGCAATCTGTGTTGTGTAATCTTTGTGGACCAACATACATATATGATCCCGGGCTCCCGGCCCACCGCCCCCCCCCCCCCAGATGGTGTGGTCCCAGGGTTCCTCGGGCCCCCCACCCCCCCAGATGGTATGGTCCCAGAGACGACGACGACGGCGACGACTACGACGACGGCGACGACGACGACGACGACGACGACGACGACGACCACGACGACGACGACGACGACGACGACGACGGCTGCGGCGGCGACGACGCCGGCGGCGGCAGCGACGACGACGATGACGACGATGACGACGGCGACGACGACGACGACGATGACGACGAGGACGACGAGGACGACGAGGACGACGAGGACGACGACGACGACGACGACGACGACCTCTGAACCACCACAGCACCACACCACATCCACATGGGGGGGGGGAGGGGGGCACCGCAGCGCAGCACCACGCCACGCCCACAGGGGGGGGCCCATCGCGCGGGGGGGGGGGCCCAATGGCATCAGCATGGGGGGGGGGGGCCCAAGCCCTGGACCATCTATATATATATATATATATATATATATATATATTGTGTACATATGTATGTATATAATGTATATATGTATGGTCACTTTAGGTGGTGCAACACCTGTGGATGTGGTGCAGCCTCTGTTGTGCGGCCAATGTTGTGCCATCTACGTGTGGTGCAACCTGTGTGGTGCCATCCAAGACGCGCCGCCCCGGACTCGGCGCTGCGCCGCCGAGAGATCCGCGAGCAGGCCCCCTCCCCGATGGCGAGGCCGCGGGCTCCCCGGGCGGGGTGGTGGGGGGGGCGAGGAGGAGGAGGAGGAGGAGGAGGAGGAGGAGGAGGAGTAGGAGTAGGAGGAGGAGGAGGAGGAGGAGAGGAGGAGGAGGAGAGGAGGAGGAGGAGGAGAGAGGAGGAGGAGGAGGAGGAGGAGGAGGAGGGGGAGGAGGAGGAGGAGGGGGGGGGCCCCAGCTTGGGGGCGGCGATGCGCGGGCGATGTTGGGGGGGGAGGGGGGGGGCCGAGGACTCTCCGCCTGGGCCGGCTGCCCCCTGCCCCCCTGTCCCCCGGTCGGGTGGCAGCTCGCCATCGCTCGGACGTCCATTCCCTGTTTTTCTTTTTTTGTTTCGTGTGTGTGTGTGTGTGTGTGCGTGCGTGTGTGTGTGTGTGTGTGTGTGTGGTTTTTTCGCCGAATGATCA